AGAGGCACCAATGGACATGATGAACCCCTCCGAGATGGTCTCTAAATTGGATCTTGTGTTTCTGGACTCTGCATCGGCTGAAATTGATTTTCGTTGACTCTCCTAGGGTTTCTGGAATATTGGGGTATTTATAGAGCAAAAAGGCGGTGCGGGAGGCCAACAAGGAGGGCATAACCCACCGGGGCGCGCCTGGGCCACCAGGCTCGCCCTGGTGGGTTGTGCTCCCCTCGGTGCTCCCCTCAGGTGCGTTCTGGCCCAGTGGATGTATTCTGGACCAAAGAAAATCCTCAAAAAGTTTCGCTGCATTTGGACTTCGTTTAGTATTGATTTCCTGCGATGTAAAAAACATGCAAAAAACAGCAAGTGGCACTGGGCACTATGTCAATAGGTTAGTACCAAAAAATGATATAAAATGACTATAAAATGATTGTAAAACATCCAAGAATGATAATATAACATCATGGAACAATCAAAAATTATAGATACGTTGGAGATGTATCAGTATCTTAGATTTGCTCCTTTCCAGTCCAGAATTTCAGCTGCCGGCATTCTCCCTCTTCATGTAAACCTTGTAAATAAGAGAGAAAAGGCATAAGAATTGTATCTTAAAGTGAAATAATAGCCCATAATTCAATAAATATCAACATAAAAACATGATGCAAAATGGACGTATCAATCTCAAACTTGATACTTCCTCTAGATCAACAATCCGCTACCTCCAGACAACCTAGCTCATGATACCACTTGTTAGAATAAATCTGAGGCCACCGTCGATCATCCGAGGACCAAGCAATCAGACAAGCACGACACCGAGATTTGTTAACGAGGTTCATCGATATGGCTACATCCCCGGAGTCTGACTATGGGCGTTCCTCCCCATGACACTGCTACAATACCGCACCCGGTCGCCCTGGACGCCGGCACATGCCGTTGGCTTCCCCTGCCTTCTTGTGCTATTATGTTGGCATAGGTTACATCATGTGTCTATCCTCGCTATATATGAGAGGCTTAGGATACAAGTGTCCTACTAGAACACGACTGGATATCCTATCTAAACACAATACTACTCGGAGTCCAACCGTAACCTACCTTGTACACAATATTCGACAAAATCCGAATAGTTACCTCATACCCGGATACCGGCGCGACCGTCAGATCCGCCCTTCTTACCCTTCCCTTCTACCTTCCTCCCACACTTCCTCAACTGAACTTGATTAACAGTAGATGGCGATGCTATGAATTGGTCATACTGGTGAATTGGTGATCCGATTGTGTGTTAGCGTATGCTCTGTATTTTAGATGCACCGTGTCTCAGCTGCAGTATTGGATTTGTTGATTGTTGCTGCTATTGACTTGTTGGTTGATCATGGAGTTACAAAAGCTCAGCAACAAGTTTCCTAGGTAAGAATAGACCATAAGACACACTCATGTTTGCAGAGCAGGTTCCTCTTGTTTACTTTGTTTTTGGTCTACAGGCTCCACCTGTACGTAGGGATGATCGATTCTAAAGTAGACGAGAAAGGGTAATGTTTTAAACTTTAGCCGTCCAATGCTTATATTTTATAAAATGGGTACATTGTTTCTCCATTCTTCAATATATTACATCTAGCATGTATGCCAGGCGACCGATCAAAAGCGAGCACAGACTAACGTCGTTGATTTGTACCCACATTTACAATAACTACCATATGCTAAAATCTGAGGATTGATGTACTTTTTTGGAGAACTTAAGAGTTTTTTTGCAAAGAGCTCTTTTATTAACTCAACAAGTAGCAACAAGAGGATACATATCGAATTGAGCAACACCTGGCCTCTGCATAGCTAGAATGCACACAACCATAGACAAAAAGTCCAACGTAAAGAAAAATAATAAAATAACAAATCAGCACGAGTGAAGTCATATGAGACCGACATTATGCCTATATCGAAGGAGGAGGTGGACCGATACGAAGATTGTGTTGTCATCCATATTTGGTAAAACCCTCACTGGCCACTCGCTCCAACCGTACACACACCGCCTTGAATAAAGGTTGGTCCTCGTTCGGTGTAGCGTCGACCATATAGAGCCAGTGCGCAACTAAAAATAACCTACAGGGAGAAGGGTTTTTGCCATCGAAAACCATATCATTTCTACAGAGACGAAGTGGCCATAATAAGGCAGATGTTTCCATCCTATTAGCATAGTAAACCTATTTGGTATTTTGTTAAGCCCGTGACCATATATATTGTCAACAGTTGTCAGCAGATAAAAAATGGACGCTATTTGGATGACTGACCATATAGAACACGCAAACTTGCACTAAAAGAAGAGATGGTTGATTGTCTCGTCTTGAGAACAAAAGCTACATTTCTTGCTTCCCTGCCAGTTGCGACGAACGAGGTTGTCTTTAGTTAGCACAACTCCCCTCCGAAGATATCATATGAAAATCTTGTGGTATTTTAGTTTTCATATTTGCTTATTATTGTTCACTGAAATCTCTGCGTGCATGAGGACATAATACACCGAATCAACCGTGAATGATCCAGATGTCATGAGATTCCAACGAAACACATCATGTCCTTGTGTGAGGTTAAGTGAATCCAAACGAGATAACAGATGTTGCCATGCATAAGACGGGAGCCAACCAGATCCCGCCTAAATGATACATCCGGCGGGGAGGAAGTGAGCACATGTGCAAGAGTGTCATTCTTATCGCGGACAATGCGGTACAAAGCTGAATACCATTCCATGAGAGTGGCATTTCCTAACCACTTATCCTCCCAGAAACGTGTTTCCGAGCCGTCCTTTATCGCGAAAGATGCAAAATGGAAAAGATGCTTTTTTGCCGCCATCAGGCCAACCCAAAAATTTGAGTCCCTTGGCTTCCAATATCCATGGGACACCGCTTTTTGGCCTAGATACTTATTGCGCAGCAGGGTTTGCCAAATACCTTCCTCATTATGAAGCTTAGATAGCCATTTACTGAGTAAGGCATCATTCTTGACATGTAGGTCCCGAATGCCTAGACCTCCCTGGTCTTTCGGTCGACAAACAATGGTCCATTTGGTGAGCCGATACTTTTTCTTGTCACTATCTCCTTGCAAAAAGAATCTGCATATGAAATAATCCAGTCTATGCAAGACCCCTTTAGGGAGTTGAAAAAAAAGAGCATATAAAGAACCATATTTGTGAGAACCGAGTTGATGATGACTAATCTTCCTCCAACGAAGAGCAACTTGCCTTTCCAACTGCTCAACCGTTTCTCTAAGCGCCCTTCTACATTTTTCCACTCTGCGTTAGCTAGTGCGGCATCGATAATGTATCGGAATTCCCAAATATTTAATCTGAAATTGGCCTTGTGCACAAACAAACAGATCAACGTATTGTGCGGTTGCCTCTTTGGCTTCTCCGAAACATAACAATTCACTTTTATGGAAGTTAATTTTAAGACCAGACATTTGCTTGAAGGCTGAAAGCAGGAGTTTCAGATTCATAGCTTTATCCAAGTCATGTTCCATAAAAAGAATCGTATCATCGGCACATTGCAAGATAGAGATGCCCCCATCCACAATGTGTGGAACCACTCCTGCAATTTGACCTCCCTGTTTGGCGCGTTCAATGAGGATGGCCATTACTTATAACTACGGGTCACAGTGAGGATAGCCACACTGCCCAAAAAATATAATTTTGGACCCATTCGTACAATTTCTCGGAGAAACTTTTCATTTTTAGGGTCTGCCGCAGAAACGGTCGCTTATAACTTTACCATAGGTTTTTTCAAAGTTAATTTTGAGTTAAGATTGTACTGCCTTTTCCAGATTCCTATCATCTTTGTAATTATCTATTTTGTATGCATGTAATGAAACATATGGTTAGCTCCCACGTCTCCCTCCAAGAACAGTTTGTTTTTTAAGGGGTAAGTATCTTCTTTTCTTTTTCTGTGTACATGATGATATTTATTCCCAAATTATTGTTCCCTCTGTTAAGAATTTGTGTTTTGTTATCATAAGAGAATCATTTTGTTGTTGCGAGAATATTATTTTGCTGACGTGAAGCATTTTTCTAATATATGTGTTTGTTTGGCATGTAGATCAAACCATAATTCATACTCGTGTAACTACACAATTCTAATTTCAAAAAGGAAAAAGAAAACTATGCAATTCTACAGTTTGTCATCCAAACATGATTTGGTATTGAAATCTCACTGGGATTTCATGAGTCAATTTGGCAAACAACCAAACAAACGAATTTGTATTCAATGCTCAATTCAGCGTAGCTGGAAGCGCCTCGATTTGCAGCGCCGCGTAGTGGTGGCTGCATGTACTTGCACGCCGCTGGCTCGAAGCGCCTTGATTTGCACGTTGCTGTTTGACGGGGAGGATGAAGGCGGCTGGACATTTGCTTGCGGGAGTTGCGGCCGGTTCGGTGCGTATGGCGCCGCGAGGAGATCGGGTTGGATCCGGCCGAGGCTGCTCCTGAGCGTGCTGTGCGGCCGCGCCCTCGCTGTCGCCTGTCTGTGTAGATCGGATAGCAGGGAGTCTCCGTGCGATGGGCCTCCGTGACTCGGAGTCTGCCGTGGCGCGCGTGGTCGCCCCCCGGCCGTGTGTGTCGGATAAATCTTGCATCGATTTTCAATGGATTTTGAGGGTCGTCTGAGGATATTGACTTGAAGTACAAGATAAATCGTCGCATGTTTAAATATTATACTGTACTGTAGTTCCTCAAAACCTACTCTATCTTCTTATATCTCTACTTTAACACAATTATGCTTCTAACACATTAGTGCTCATTAAGCACAGCGCGTAGACCACCAAAACCTACTCGGACTCAGAGCACGAGTCAGAGTTCATTTCAGCCCACGCTTCGCCTCGCCGCATATATATGTGCGGGCAGAGCGGTCCAAACTACTAGCTCGTACCAACCTTGCTCTATATGTCATTCGAGAAAGGAAAATTCTTGCCCTATATAAGCCGGCGCAACGACGAGTAATAACACCCAAAGCCGGGATCCACCTCTTCCAATGGCAATCACGTACCATGCACCGCCTCAACCAACTGAGCAACCAGTGGCACCTCGTCATCGCTCAAGGGTAGACGCGGACGTCGTCATGGACGACGGCACCGTGATCCGGACCACCGTTACGTCGTCTGCCTGTGATGTCTTGCTCTTTCTCCGGGAGCTCCAGGAACTATTCTGCAAAGAGATCCATGACCACAATAGCCTCAGCAAGGTCCAAGAGCAGCAAGGCCTGGAGGAGGTCCAACAGCACCTCCATTGCCTCGTCGTCGGCCTCGATACGGAGTGGCACCAAATCTCTGAGACCGGCGGGAAGCCCCGGTACCAGATCGCTGTCCTCCAGCTCTGCGTCGGCGACCGCTGCCTTGTCTACCAGATTTTCCACGCCGACTACATCCCTGCCGAGCTCGCGGCCTTCCTCGCCAACCCTGACTTCTGCTTCGTCGCCGTCGGGGCGGGTGGCGACGTCAAGCGGCTGCATGACGACTGTAACCTTGAGGTGGCCCACACGATGGACCTGCCTCAGGTCGCGGCGGTTGTGCTCGGCCGACCAGAGCTCCGGCAGGCAGGGCTCAAGACCCTAGCGCGAGAGGTGATGGACACTCTCATCGAGAAGCCGAAGAAGGTGACAATGAGCAAGTGGGCCGCGCCGCACCTGTCATGGGAGCAGGTCCGGTACGCCTGCATCGATGCCTTCGTGTCGTTCGACGTTGGCCGCCGGCTACTCTGCGAACCCCGTGTTTAAGTTCTGAAGATGCTCGGGTTAAGCATTGCAAGTTTGCGCTTAATTTGTTCCGTAGATTTAGTTGTGTATGTATACACGTTTGTTGGGATGAAATGTGAATACTTGGACCGATATGGTTTTGTCGCCAGCTCGACGTTGGATGCTGAAATTAGGATTGACTAGCAAAAGAGCCCGTGCGTTGCAACGGGACAGAAAAACACACACGCTCTTAACCCAATAACCACGACTTGAGACCTTAATATGTAGATGCTCTTTATTTTAAAATGGCATCACATTTGTGTTCCCGGCAATGGTCTCAATGCTCACACAACGAAAACACATTTGAATGTGGTCAGTCCTGAGGCGTCTCTCTCTCACACACACATACACACAAACACACACACGCGCGCGCGCGCTCGCACGCACACAATCACTGAGAATAAGATGAGAAAAATGTTGTTTTTCCGTGCGAGGTTTTTCAGAGTTGTGCATGCATGGTTATCAATGTTTTTTCCCTCTCAATCTGGTTTTAATGTGTGTTTATTTACAATTTGGAACGCCGCCAGTGCGGCAAAAAAATCGGACCGTGCACTATAGATTAAGTTTGCATCCAAATTAATAGTTTAGAAATATTTAACAGCTAAAAGTAACAACATATTTGGATTCTACACATTTTTCTAATCAAATTTCATATAAAATATGTTAAAATCAAAGTTACGATTTAAAAGATATGGATAATTTTGTTTTAGATAAACTGCGGATTGTTTAACCGAAAGGTTAGGGGGTTTTCTGTTAAAACAGAAAAAAACGATTCGTATGACTCAAATATGTACGGCGGGTTGATTACCTAAAAGCTCAGGGGGATTTCTGAGAAAACTAAAAAAACGGTTCGGTATGACTTAAAGATGGACTGCGGGTTGATTTCAACAAACTCTAGGGACTTTTTTGCAAATAAGGGTAACGGACGACGGAAACCCACGGTGCTTTATTATTATTACTAGCAAAAGAGCCCGTGCGTTGCAACGGGAGAAAAAACACAATACACACTCTCAACCGAACAACCATCACTCAAGACCACAATAGGTCCATCTCCTTTATTTTAGCGACACATCATATTTGTGTTGCCGCTTATCCTTCTTCCCACCCTCGCCGGCGATGGCCTTAGTGTTCACACAAACCAAAACGTGTTAGAATGTGGTTAATCCTAAGACGTCTCTCTCTCCCTCTGTCCTCCCTCTCCCTCTCTCGCTTTCTCTCACACTTGCGATGAGAAATCTGTTGTTTTCCCCTGCGACGTATTCAGAGGTATGCATGTGTAGTTCTCGATGTTTTCTTTTCCCTATATGATTATAGTGGGTGTTTATTTGCAATCCGGATCGCCGCCTGTATCAAAGAAAAATGGATCGTGCGCTATAGTTATAAGTTTCCTTCCAAAACAATATTTAAAAAATATTTAAAAGGTAAAATTAACATCATATACAGATTTCACGCATTTTTCTAATCAAATTTCATATATAACATATTAAAATCGAAGTTACGGTTTAAAAGATGCGTATAACACTACTAGGAAAAGGGCTATAGATGGAAATGGCACTAATTGCGCACCAGACATGTGGTGCGCCATTAGTATATACTAATGGCGCACCACCTTCTGATGCGCCATTAGTGTTGAAACTACTAATGGCGCACCCTGCCTACGGTGCGCCATTAGTACCAAAAATTTTTTTTTTTGAACTAGTGCGCCTGTCCAAACATACTAATGGCGCACCGTGGCATGGTGCGCCATTACTAGTTAAACTAG